GAGTATTTTCAGTAACATGGGGGAGAGAGTGGATGAGAGGACTGGACTTAGGGACTATTAAGCATGTATAGATTAGAACCAGGAAGAAGAGTAAGAAGATTATTCTTTGAGAAAATACAGGTCCGAGTTTATCTTAGAATGACTAGAGTTAGCTTCTGCATCAGGAAATTCAGGAAATTAAGAAATGAATATATGTGACCAACTAAGCCATGTGCTGGAGTCACTTCTAATAGAAGAGTAAGGAGAAAGCCTGAAATACCTTATCAATTGTGAATAGGTGTTATATTATGAAAACCATTTGGAATTTACATTGCAAACTCCACAGCCATCCACAGCATATTTTCCATCCCCACCATTTGTCTCCTTTAGGCTCCAAACACTAATCTCCACAACAATGCAGTAAGCTTATTCAGGTAAGCTCATCCAAATAGCCATAGACCCATCATGTTCCCTGCTAATGTTTCCTTTCAAGGCCACTAAATAGCCACCTTTACAAGAGCATCTCCCCAAACCACTGCCACTGATGCAAAAAGGCAGGAATTTCACAAGGGGACACCCTAGCTTGAATGGCTGCCTGAATTCAACTTTCCACTGAGGTGGCCAGATGGCAGAGTTAGATATCTAGTACAGCTGTCAGTCCTAGAGCAGGTTAATAGTTCAACTCCAAAAACCTCTTACCGAGAAAAACATCCCTAGGTCCCAACCATGTTTGTATATGACAGTCTTGTAAAAACAAGTAGCAGTCCCCAAACAAACTTCTACCAATAGTACATTTCTAATGACTCATCATCAGTCATGTTGCTATGGGCATATTCTTGCATGAATTATTTGTTATAGTTGTTTAGATGTTCTCTTTAGGGTAGATCCCTGGAAGTTAATTAATGTGTCAAATAGAAGGCCCCTGATATCCATCAAGAAATAGTCCACAGTTTTACCACCCCACCGTGCCAGGCAGTAGGCTAAATGCTTACATATGAATCTTGTTAATTCTGCACAACGATGTTATAATGCATTATTTTCTCCACTTAGAGGATGCGCAAACTGGACTCACAATAAATAGCCTAACAAAAGCCATATGCCTCTTTGGCAGTGACAATGGGAGTCAAACCTGTGCTTGTCTGACTCAGAAGTGTTTGCTTTCAGCCACCATCTATGACCCTCCCTTCTCTACTCTGGGGGATATCATTATTTTAAAAATCTACCAGCTTGCTCTAGTATCACATAGTTGTTTTAATTTGCATTTTTGGATTTCTGGTGAATTTCCTCTCAAGAATGAAAACATCCCCACTGACGGCCGGCTAACTCTGGTAGCAGGGCTGTCTTTTGGAGGAAGCAAAATCACAAATGCTCTACAGAGAAAATAGGAGGTAGTAGCAACTTTTCTTCCCTTTTTCTTTTCTAGAGATCAGTAGCATCTCTTGTGATAACACATTTGCAAGAGTGCAGCTGTACCCAATCTTTGAAGCTGTGTGGAAGGTAAAATGTAGAACAATGACAATGTGGGTATAAGATAGAAGGCAGAATGATTGGGGGTTAGTGATGAAGACAAAGGCAAAGGCATAAGATGTGGTAAAGACACTCTCCGCCCTTGCCGATTTAAAACCCAAAGTTTAGCTCAACCCAGGCCCTTTTCTGAGTGCCCTCTGGATCGACAGTCATGGAAAGCTGCCCTCGGGACAGTGGGGGACTAGAGGAACTGAGGTTCTTTCCTCATTTGATCGGTTGACTCACATCTGACAAGAAGTCCAGCAGCTTCCTTTCATCGGTCTCCATCCATTAACAGACTCAACCACTTGAGAACTATGCAGGGAAGCTCAGAATCTATGGGGTCTCTTGACTGGACCTCTGGAGCAAAGACTTCAGATAAATGCCTTCAGGAATTCTTACTGGTTAAGGTAAAGCCTCGGGTGGTGGTCAATACCTTGCTCAGTAGGCAGCAGGGAAACTTTGAAATGAACTGGCTGTATTCTCTGTCCTTGCATGGGTTCCGTGTCTAGCCATAGACAACACTCCTTTCCCCGTCCCCTTCACATTTTCCTCCGTTATCTTTGCCCCCATGCAGCCACTTGAGCTGTCTAAAAGTCCATTGCTTTTAAAGCATGCTCCTACTGTGTTCTACAATGGTAAATCCAAGGGCAATTAAGAGAGAAGGGATATGAGGGGATGGAAAATTCCTTCTACACCAAATCTGACCCAACTCACCAGGTGAATGCATTTCCAGCTCAAGTTTCCATCACACAGCTGCTATGTGCCACACCAGGTTACAACATGTGGAGAAGCACCAATACCCAATAACGTGGGTGGGCATCATCCTATCTATTGAAAGACCAAGTAGAACAAAAAAAAAGAGGAAGGAGGAATTTACCCTGTTTTTGTTTCCTGCCCACCTGTTTGAGTGGAACATCTCATATCTTCTTCAGGTGTTGGACTAGGATATACACCGTCAGTTCCCCTGATTCTTAGGCCTTCAAACTCAGACTGAATTACACCACTGGCCTTCCTGGGTCTTCAGCTTGTAAGTGGCAGATCATAGGACTCCCCAGACTCCTTAATCCAGTGACCAGTGAGCCAATTCCCTATAATAAATTTCAATTTCTCTCTCTTTCATATATATATACTTATGTATAGATATATTCTAACATATATGAATGTGTGTGTGTATGTGTGTGTATCATGGTTCCGTTTCTCCGGAGAACCCTGACGAATATAAACAGCAATGGAAAAAAGGTGAAAAAGTAGACAAATTCATGAGAAATGTGCAGGTACTATTGATAGGAGGTGCTGATCCGGCCAAGGTGCAGGAGGCTCAAGCATGGCTTCTGTCTCCTCTGCTTGTGCAGTGGGCTTCACATGGGAAAGAGCAGACAGCCCCTGACTGCTGACAGGCCATCACCTGCATTGGCTAATGTCCCCTGGTCACTGGCACCACCCCCACACATTATATATATATATATATATATTAGAAAAGTAAACAAGCAAAAGATAATATGATTTTATGTAAAAAATAAGAAGCCCAATGTTGCTGTTTTTGAACATATTTATCAGGGTATGACAATCAATTAACTGATTATTCTTCCTATTCCCCTGTTCCCCTACCCAGGAAATGTACCCTAAAGCACGTTACAAAGAGAATGCTAGGTTAATGCTGAACTGGAAAAGGAATTACAGTGGTTCAAGCATTCTTGGAGATGATAAAATGGGAGAAATTATATGCAGTCGCTTAACTGTGTGATGATCCAGGGTCTGTGCAAGGAAAAGCAGAACAAAACAATGAGAGAAAAAGCAGATTCTGAGCAGCAGCCACCTTTCAAACATATCCAGGTCGGCTGCCACCAAACCTGGTATGTCAAACACTGACTGAAATCCAATAAAACCCATCCAACTAAAAGCTTCTCTCCATAGTGGAGGGGCCCATCCAAAAGGAGATCTTGCAGTAATGTCATAATTACCATGATCTCCTCATGACTGATGGGTGGGATAATCATGTTGGGGGCTTTCCTTCCCGAAGACTTCTGACAGAGAGAACTCGGTACGATTTAAGTCTTTGTCATTTGACTACAGAACAAATTGACACATCTTTTTTTGCAGTGGAAACAACTTCAGAAGATGCTGCTCTGCTGACAGACACAATGATGGAAACATTGTAATGGTCTGAATGTGAGTGCGTACAGACTGCGACATGTATTGAACAGCGAGATGATGCTCCTCTGTTTGTTCACTGGTCATCGGGTACCTTAGCCAGGTCGCAGCACTTGGCATACATGCCG